ATGAATGTTTGTATAAATCTGTCAATAATACATGTACTGTTGTTGTTTTCACTGTTGTAGGGATATAGATGTTGACCCTAAACTTGCAGAGATGCCAACATATCAAGAGCTCCTCGACACTGTCAGGTAAGTCACTGCACACTGAGATCTCATTTCCATGCCCACATCAATCAAATCTGACTAATGGCATCATGGAATTCAATGGAAATGAATGTTTGTAATGGTTTGAATGTGGACACAGAAATGAACAATGTATTGCTATATACTTGCAATATACACACACAAAGTGTTGCAATTGTGTGATTATCTTACAATTTGTGTGACTACAAGTGAGATCTTTATCACATATCACATGGCTGCATACCCTTATTTTATACATACTTGCTTGTAGGTATAATAATCCTTAATTTTGGAACGAATGACAAATAATTTCAAATTAGCTATATTTGATATAATGATGTGAAATTTGAATGTTTTTATTAATCCATTTTTTTTTTCAGAAAATCTTTGTCATCCAGTAATATTGTGTTAAATTATCGTGATATTGAAGGTGATTTAATTCTGTTGAAAGACCAAGAAGACATAGATTTGTTATTGGAAGTAGCTTCGTTACATCCTCAGCTCGCAATATCTGGCTATGTACCATGGGAATTACATATAACTATGTCTGGCGACTGTTCACAGTACAATACTGACCCATATGTGCAATGGTAACAGTGTAGCTATAGCTGAGTAGATAGACAAATATTATAGTTTTTAATAGTAAAAAAAACTTGTTACTATTTTTTTTAGTGAACTGATTGTGGTAGAAAATGTGAAAAAAAATGTTGTGATCATTTTGAATGAGAGTGTGTGAAAATAAATGGTTGTTGGTATATCAGTATAGGTGCTTACCACCCACAAGTTACAAGCTTTTCAATTAGCCAACATTACTGAAGCAAAAAAATTATGCATTCCTTTAAAAGCAATGATTTTGTATCAGACGATATGAGATACTTACAAGTTATGTATTCTACTGTATATTTATAAGCTTTTTGCTTATTACAATAAGAATACAATAATTTAAACAAATTGAAATATAAAATATAACAAAAATGTACATACCAGTACATATAAATAAATGATATATTTATCTTAAATATTTTAAGATAATTTTTTTACAAAAATTACATTTCATGTCGCTCTCACTCATTCAAAATATAGAGAATATAAGTTGGCATTAATCTTGTGCAATACGATGTAATTATAACTGTTTAAATATTATTATATAAATTTTCGGTATAATTTGTGTATGTCGATGAATAATAAATAGATAATTTTGTAAATTCATCGCAGTCTCTCTCTGTTATTTTTTCCACAATGGGGAATTTTTCGATCATTGCCTGATCCTGCATTATGTGTGAAATCGAACATTAAAATAGGACAAACAAAGGTCATAGCATCATAATGGCGTCAAAACAACACACTGGATTCAACAAACACATTATTTAAATATTTCAGAGCTTAAAGGGGAAGTCAAGCGAAACAACACAATGACCCCCCAAGAAAATTTTCCACAAATGTAGGAGAATGCAATTTATAGTTTTTTTATATCACTATTCATTCTCTAGATATTCAACTTTTCATCAGTATTATGTAGTCAGCCATCTTGATTCTCAAGGAAAGGATTATGGGTAAAGTATGACACCATAGAGTCTGAAAGTTTTGAACATGGTAGCATACATGTACTGGTGCCATTGTGTTGTTTGGCTTGACTCCCCCTTTAATGTGTTGTAACATTTGACTCTGGTCATTTTTGATGATGGCTATGTCAATGCCATATTCTCTTCTGGTAGATCAGCATTATGACGTTCAGCTATAGAAAAGTTTGGTTGGTTCACGCTATATGCGAGATCTCACAGTGATCATAAAATAGCCTCTTGCTTAAACTAAACAGTTGATTCAAGCAAAATTATATTTATCGTTGATTTATAAAAGTTGCCAGAATGAGATGGTCGAACTAAGTTCAAGTCTTCATGAAATAAATGCAATATGTATTGGCTAGTTTATGAGATTTATTAGAGATGAGATTCTAATAGAACAGAAACAGTACATCCATTTTCAGTTTAGAAAATATGTATTTTTCATAACTTAAAAATATAAACAAATCTATTCAAAATGTTGGATTTAAACAAAAATTCATAAAGCTTTGTTAAAATAACTTTTATTGGTGAATCATTTGGAATAATCGAGGGCTAGATAGTAATAAGATTGAATTTTTTTTAGTCATTATTTCTATGATTTTTTTGTTTATTATATATATATTATATATATTTGTTTTTTGCATTTGATATATTTGTAGATTGAAAATGTCAATCTGATGTTCACTTCTGTTTTTCTAAATTCTCCTCCCAACAAAAAACAAAACAAAAAAAATCTGGACAAAACAAAGTTTTTAAAAATATACATTTTCAGAAAATTACAGACGTGATTTAGTGATTTTGTCTGTATTGTGATTTGTAACAGTATATTTTAACTTGTGTTGTGGTGTTTTAGTCTTACCAGTAGTTGCTTTGTAGTTTTAGTCGCTCTACTTGTGTCAGTAAATTATAAATTATTAAAAATTATTATAAAGCCATGTAAAGTGCGCCACCACGAGTTAAACAATGTGGCTCCCGGCGTTCTTAGCGGAAACGGAAAACACATCCAATGTTTGGGGAATACCCGTAATGTGTTTGTAAATGTTACTTTCAGTGACGTGCTGCCACTGACTGAGTTGTTTTGAGGAGATGTTTTTGTCTTCCACCCGAACGAACATTATTTATCGCATATACTTTCCAACGTTGTGTGAAAAATATCGCGTGAACTTGATAAAGTTTCCGTTTCCAAACTTTGTCATCTAAACCATGGAGCTTGATGTACATTTTTTAACTCGCTGTAAATTTTGTTATGGCGTAGACGGAATTGCAGCTTGGTTGAGTTGACCACAAAATGGCGGGTGACGACCACGAAAAAAACACAGTACTCCAATTTTCAGAAATTCTAGAAGAGCATGGAATAACACGTTTCTCGAAGTTATTTATTAACAAAGATCACAAGACTACGCGACAGTGCCATCAACTGAAACGTCGATATAAGTTTTTGAATCGGCTTCTCGAAGATGGCTGTTCATCGCATCACCAGACCGTCTCGTTGAATCTTCTTCTCGCTGCATGTGCAGCTCAGCTGACACATGATCCGGATATTGGGAATGACGGAGTGGAGGATCATTTATTGAACGTTCTCAAACGAGATCCCGATAACATCAATGCATTAGTAGATCTGTTTTATTTCTATGGATCGACACAAGAACACGACGAAAAAAAGGAGTGCGAAGACAAGCTTATAAAGTTGTTGGCTAATGAAAACATTGTACTCTTGAAAGTTAAAAGTCAAGCTGAACGAGCATATGCTCTTGCGTATGATGACCATTGCGGTGGAACAAAGTCCTTACAAAGGTGATATTGAAGACGTTTTTGCTTCTTTTTTTTGTTCTTCATCAACGCACAATGCGGATACAGTGTTTACAGTTTACCAATGAAAATAATAATAATAACAATAATAATGTTTTATTGAGTGAAATTACAAATTCATTTTTGACTGAAAGTAATAAAAGGAAAGGTAACAAGTAAAAAACAAAACATTAAAATAATAAAATCTATGCATTTGAATTTCAAGCAAGTGGATGCATGTATCCTAGAGTGACCCATGTTATCTGTAATATTTACATGATTATTCTAATACATTTAAAAAAATTAATTCTATTTATCATATTTATCAATTATTCAACAATTATTGTCTGATTTAGATCAAGGATGGACGATGATTCTATGTGGTCCCGGTAGATGTTTTTATTTAAATGACAACATTTTTCTGTTGTAACTTAGAACACTAATCTAGTACAGCCCGCCCCCTCCCTCAAATGATTATCGAACAATGGTCAGCTTGCTGTGTTCTTGCATGCATTGCAGAATTGTCTTTCATCCCAAATAACTAACTTGAAATTTATTTTCACTGAAAACAGAAAGTTGAAAGTATGAACTTCATACAAAAGAAAAAAAAAGTATTTGCATTTTATTTCTGGTGATTTATCTCTTGAGATAAAGTGTTCTTCAAAATTCAATTTTGTCTGTGTAATTTTATGACTTTAGTGATAATAAAATGCCTTCTTTTTTTTTTCTTTTTAAAGATATGAAGAATCAACACTCCTTTATAGCCAGGCATTATCTCAGCTGGAATCTTGTGGTCTGGAAGACAAATCAAGTTGGTATTACATAATGGGTGAAAACTGTAGACGATCATACAATATTATGACAAAGGAGGAACAAAGTGTTAAAGTTGAAATGTATGACAATGCTGCAAAGTACTACTATAGCGCTCTCAATGGGTCAACAAAATTACAGTGCGATACTTGGGCAGCATTGGGCTTATTATTTTGTAAAAAACCTAAACTGTCTAAAGGTACACGTTATCCTCCTTTCATTGGAGAATGCCCTGACCTCAAATATTTTTATAATGAGAAATGTCTAAAATGCTTTGAGAAAGCCTTAGATTTGTGTCGAGATATCATACCTGTGAAGATTCTTGCTGATTATGGATCGCAGTGCTATCGTTTGGGAAACAAGCATGCAGCTTTGATGAAACTTGATCAAGTTATCCAGAATGAACCGGACAATCCCAGAAGCTGGTTTGCTTACAGTGCTAGGTCTAAAATATACAGACAGTCCTATAAAGAAGCAGCAGAAAGGTTTCAGAAGCTGCATGATAGTCCTCCAGATATATCACTTCTCAAAAAAGCGAAAAGTGACTCTGATAAGTGCCTCAGGTTAAATGAGAGTCCTCAAGAATATGCAAATTTGGGTGAAATTCACTATTTGATTGCTGTGGATGCATCTGGTAATGTTTGTGACCGCCAAGAACTTAAAAAAGCTCTTCGTTGTTTCCTCCAAGCAGAGGAGTGCCAAGATGGTGCTGACAGACCAGACCTCCACCAGAGAAGAGGCCTGTGTTTAGTGAGCTTAGGTCAGAATCGTAAAGCCATTGAATGCTTCAAGCGAGCCGTTGAATGCGAGCATAACAAAAATTACAATAAGAATTTTGTTCATCTGATGAAAACGTTCTTTAAGGAATATCGACATGAGGGTGGAAAGGAAAAATATATGCTGAGTGAAATAGCATACTGGTTTAGGTATGGCATCGATAAGTATGTGATCAATGTTGATGTATTTACCACAGGTGGTATTTCTTATGCTCAAGAACTTCTCCAGCTTGGTGAGCATCTTCAGAATAACCAGAAGTTCATATATGCAAGAAGGTGTTTTAATATATTGAAAAAAGATCCTGATGTCGAGATAAAGAACAAGGCACTGAAACTGCTGCTACAAATAAAGAATGGTACATCAGTTGTCACAAACAGGGAACCAGCACATGTGGAGAGTGTGGATGAGGCAGACACTGTGGATGGTCAAAACAACCCTGTCAGTAATGTGGATGACACACAAACTCTGAGAAAACCAGAAAACTGCACTCTTAAAACTGAGCAGGATAATGAACCAGATGCCGAAGCTTTGAGTGTGAATAGTCATATGGATAGTTCAGGTTCAAGTCTAATTTCTACAGAAAAAATTCGAAACGATATAAAATCTGAAGATAGTGTGAGCATTTCTGACTTGTCTGTTGCTACCGGTAATAAAAAAGTACTGTTGTCTGTTACGGAAGATGTAGATTCAAATAACTTTATCTATAAAGCACCTGATGGCACAGAGCATATAAAGACCAATATTTGTCCGGATACAATCTCACAAATACTAAGTCAAATTGAAAAAGAATATCCAGAGAAAATTAATATTCCACCTGCCCCCAAGGATGCTAAAAACAAACATGGGAAAAAATATGACTTTTTTGCTGTGTTTTCAGAAGGCGACGATGCTGACTGGGTCTGGTATACACTCTTACCAAAATTGGAAAAAGAGTTAGAATTGAAAGGATGCATAACACAAAGAGACTGCACACCGGGAAAAAATAAACTAGAAAATATCATTGATGCTATTGAAAATAGTGTCTTTGTTATTTTCATTCTGACTCCAGCTTTTTTTAATTGTTTACAGCACTGCGTATGTGCATTGAAACAAACACTCGCGACTGAAGAATATCAAATAATCCCCATACGTAAACAAAATTATGACACAAGTATGAAAACAGCCAAGCTGCTAAAGGCCATTGAACATGTTGAGTTTTGTAAACATTATGATTGGCAGCAAATTGAACAGGCTTTAAGAGAAGGACTGGAAAACTGAAGCAATGTAATGATATAGAAATAAATGTTAATACGAGAAGGTCAGTTTAAAGCTCTGTTAAAGCCAATAAAATATATATGCTGTCCAATAAATGTACTCTCTGAAGATATCTAGGTTGTGTTTTGAAAATCTACAAATGTCCTGTCCTTCCTAGATTTCTTTCATTTTCTGAAAGTGTAATGTCCAAGATTCATTTTGAGTATGCCAGCCATTTATTCATGACTGAAATTTATATAATTTAAAATACTGTATTTGTTCTATTAGAAGCGCATCTGCAATAGATCTATATAAACTATATTGTTAACTGTATTTAATCATAGACCTGCCTCTATCATTTACGTAAGCGTATGCACCACTAATAGAGCAAGTATAGTATACAGCAACTTTGGCATAATTAAAACAATGGCCAGCTACTTTTAGTGGAGACTTAATTATAAATGTGATTGTTGTCTTCAGGATCTGTATGGTATTTGTTCAATATGACTGTATCATATTATATAGTGTTGCATTTATTGCAATTAATAATGTATACTTAGAATCTTTGATGAAAATGCATTTCATGTTTGTTTTGTAAGTAATAATGTTAATAAAAATAGAATCGTTAAGTAGCCCCAAATGTAACCACAGTAGGAGGTAATATTGTGACCATGTGAGAATGATACATGTACCGGTATATGTGTGTTTGAACATGATTTACCAGACAGTCACAAAATGTGTTTTTTTGTAAGCGGGCATACAGCTTGAATAGTGTGACTAATGTGAAATTCAAAGTATGTATTTCAATAGTAAATTTTAAGTGCTGATCTCTCACATTCATTCATCTTGAATTTTCAAGGTGAATGTTCCGGCGAAGCACTCCACTATCACCTTGAAGTATTTCATTAGGACTATGTGTATGTGACAATGCCCTCACAGTTTAGAATCAGTTTAACAACAGCCAATCATATTACTTCTTTCTTCAACGCGCTTGGCCAAGCTATCAAAATCTTCGAAGCGGAGCTAAATCACTAAACGCTCCACATTGCTATTTAAGACGTGCACCACTCTACCATGTATTTCTATGGACTCTGCGCAAACTGCTGTGCACTGATCAAAAAGCCAATGAAAATAGCTAAAATCGAGAAAACAGCACAAACTTAACTTTGAAAAAATCCAACCAAATTTAAATATGTTGCATATGTAGGGGGCGACAACAACCATCTCAAAATACCGTTTTCTGAGAATTTATTGGCCTTTGTTTCACCATGATGGTTGCCAGGCGGTGAAAATGCCTGACCTGAGAATAAATGTCACTGAGCACAGCTAAAGCTGTGTTGGCTTGGATGTCGAGGCGATGCAGCGACAATATCCATACATCATGCAACTCACTGCTATTCAGACCAAAGCTATTCAAGCTTTACTTAATAATAGTGGTAATAGTGTTGTCACCACTGTTGACTTTTATAGAAGAGTAGGTGTTATACCCCAAAGCTCGTGATATCACTGCAACACATATCAGCAGTAAGGGATTGGTCAGTTACTTCGGCCTAGGGGGTGGTGGTGGATCAGTAGGGGGTTTACCCTCTTTTTGATTGTGCGAATAGGGGGGTCACCCTGTTTTTGATATCATGAATAGGGGGTCACCATGTTTTCTAAAATTCACACGCGCGCTCGTGCATATATTTTTAAAAATTTTATTTCAGAACAAACGATAAAAAAGTTAATCGTACAAATTTGTTCTTAATAACTATTACCTATATTGCCTATAAATTTGTTGATGCAAAAAATGTTATAGGCTAAATATTTTGAGGTTAAAGTTGCCAAATAACTAACAGATTATGCAATGCGGCTAGAACCCCAATTATACAGTTAAGTTTTAAGCACATCCCAAGTCCATGTGCTGCTGATATCAGGTTAAGTCTGAAGTCACCATTGTATAAGATATTTACTGGATTTATCCAATTATAACAGGAGACAGAAAGACAACACAGCAATCAGTACAAAGAGGAGTGACAATTTTTGTTCAGGAAATCAAAAAAGTTAAATTTGTGAAAATGCTGATAAATGATGAAAAAATAAATAGTTTTTTTGTCTTTTTAACTTTTAAATATGCATATTTTGCTCTGTAAAATACCAAAATCCAACACAAATTTGAGCAAAAATCAAAGTTTCCTTTGTTTTCATAAGCTATAAGATATTTTCAATGCACATATAATACATTTTTGTAATCATGTCAGAACCAAAACTGTTAATGTTTCTTTTTTGTGTGTGTGTGCGTGTGTGTGTGTGGGGGGGAGGGGGGCAGCATGTTTTAAAATATAATGTATTCACCCGCTTTTTTGACTCCCGTGTGCGAAGCACAAAAGGGAGTCTTTGCAGTTACCCTGTCTGTATGTATGTATGTATGTATGTCACTTTTTTTGTTCCACCGTTATCTCAAGAACCACTAATCAAATTTTGGTGAAACTTGGTACATAGATGCTCTGGGATAATGCGCAGAGCTGATTAGGTTTTGGTAAAAATCTATGAATATTAATTACCTAATTTGCATGATAATTAGCTGATTTTTAGCTGTTCCAAGACTGTTCCACTGATATCTGAAGAACCACTCATTGGATTTTGATGAAACTTGGCACATGGATGCTCTGAACTAGTGCGCAGATTTGATTAGTTTTGGGTAAAAATCTATGAATATTAATTACCTAATTTGAATGATAATTAACTGATTCAAGCTGTTCCATGACTGGTCCACTGATATTTGAAGAACCACTCATTGGATTTTGATGAAACTTGGCACATGGATGTTCTGAACCAATATGCAAATTTGATTAGTTTTGGGTAAAAATCTA